GTTCACCTGATATTAGTTGCCGCCGGTTAGCTGGGTGGTCAAGGCCCCCGAACACGTATAGCTCAGGGACTTATGAGAGTGGGGAGCGTAGCAGCAGCTGACGATTCTGGTTGGCAATAGAATTGACTTTCGGGAGAGCAAGGCAGGCACTTTCGATTCAGACGGACCACCCATGGCGAAAGTGTTTCCCGCCAATGATTGTCAAGGGAAACATGTCCAACCGACCTGCAGCGTTTCTGAGTCGTTGCCCTCGTGAGATGCACTCTCTCTCTAACCCCGCGACGTGTTAGAGTTCATCGGCTTGCGTGCTAAGACTGCCGATCTGCCACAAACTTGACATCACGCATTCCCGCTTCCCGACACACGCACCCTTCTGGTCAACTCTGTCTGACACAGCAGATTTTCTCCTCTCGAGGTCCTGACTGCCAAATTAGAGTTTCTGCACCTCGTGTTCACGCGGCTGAAACAGCATGGTCATCAACTCAGTACCGACCCTATTTCGCACCAGTCAAATTCTGTTTATCCAATTTCAACGTCGTATCATCCCATGTTTCTCCGTCCCTCGTGGTTCATGACTTCCAATGTTACACAAAATCTTTACAGATCTTAACTCGATTGTGCTGTAATGGGACGATTCTTCGGCTTTGCCCTTTTCCCACTAGACGAGGTGGCACGGCAAAAAACGTCCGTCCACTCGTGGGACTGTCTCGGTGGCAATGACTTCACCGGTACGTGTCCCATCAACATGGAATCGATACCTGTACATTAATATGGAAAACGGCACACAGCTGTTGGATGCCACCAACAGACACAGAACAAAAGATGGGCAAAGTGCGAATAAATGGGGCATCCCGACGGGATCAAACTTGCAAACCACTATTCCCGAGTTAATGCGACGCACGCGTCGTCTCTTCCTTTAATGCGAGGGAATCCACCGTAAAAATTGGGTCACTGACAGACTCCTTTTCTTCTTCTTTCTCTTTTGATACTCCAAAAATTCTGCCCATTCTGCAGCAAACTCGCAGAAACCTGGAGATTACGGCACTTCGAAAATAGCGTCGGAAATCGAAGAAGCCGCCGAAGAAGAATTAAGGGGTCTAGACCTCTGGACTGCTTGTGGAGCAAAATTGAAATGGGACCACGATGCCACACGTGCCCCATGGGTAGCTGGCGACTTGTGTCCGATCCAGCTAGACCGGCCCGTTTCTCAATCTCTTAGCATCGCGGTTCCGTAGAGGACCCCCTGTTCAAGATCTCTATGCAGACTAGCTTTGCTAGAGGTCATGCACGTTCTAACTTGCGCAATCAACTGCCTGGCCTATTCCTCGGTCACCGCTCATGTCCGGAGAAAAGAAAGCCGTTGGCATTAGTCTAGAAGAAGTAAAGAAAGCGCAGTCCAGCTCGGTCACTTCTCACATTCGCGGCGTAGTTTGGTGTTGGCAAGAAGGGATGAAATGCCGCTTTGTTGGGGGACTTGGCGATGCGGAGGACCGAAAAAAGAGCCGCAGGTCGTCGTCAGTTGTCCACCGCAAAAAGGCTTGAATTGTGGTTCAGGTGGGCAGCAACTTGGCGATCTCAACATCAACAAACGAGAACGAGAAATCATCGAGCAGGGGTCTCTTGGTCGTCGAGCTGCCCACAGACGTTGACCGCCGCGTCCCGCGCGCGGAAGGGCATGGCTTCGGAATGAACCCGACAGACGAGGAGACTCCGTTGCAGGGTTCTCCCCCCCCTTTACAACTTCAGAGTGCCACTATCGACAAACCTGATTCGCGGAATCAATGGGTATTCTATTTCTTTCCGTACTATGCGTATACTCGTTCAGTCGCCAAAGTTCCCATACCAGATCTCGTCGTCCGGCCGCACTCCTTTCTCGACGCCAGGTAGACCGCACAACCCCTTTTCCTCCTCGCTCACTTTCCAGTCCCTCGCCGTTTCTACTCTAGCCGCAATCACCATCATCATGCCCGACTCAGCATGCCATGCATTATGACAGTGGAATGCCCACATGCCTGGGTTGTCCAGGACGACTCTAATGACAGCCCATCCGTATCCCTGGACGGTGACTGTGTCTCTTCTCAACGGGTTTGCCAGAACTCCAGAGGCGGTCAGCTCTTCCTCCAGCTCGGTGATATTCTCGGGGGGATATCCCGTGGGTGATTGCTTCAGCACGAAGAACTTGTGCCCATGAAGGTGGAACGGGTGAGCGCCGTCGTCGAAATTGCTGATGACTATGTCCACAGTCTCGATCCCGGTTGTCTGGTACACGAACTCCTTCTCCAGATCGAAAGCGACTTCGTTCACTCCCGTCACCTGAGGTAGGGCAGTTTCATTATCTGCCTGCGCCGTCTCCATGATGCGGTACAGCGTTGGCGATGTGACGTTCCCATGCCACGTCGATTTGTTGAAGAAGCCACGAGACAAACGCCAGGCGCCGATTTCGAAGTTGGCACGGAGGTACATGGACGCCGTCGTCGCTGGTGCTGCTATGGCTTCAACGGGTTGGAGGGTGCTGGTATCCATGTCGCGGCAATCGACATCATGCGCTTCACCCCAACCTTTTGTTTGTGGCTCTTGGGCAATGGTGGCATCTTTCGACGTCTTGCTGTAGCTAATGATGCCTCTGACCTCAGGATCGAGCCACTGATTCTCCTTGGCGAAGCAGTGTGTGACCATTCTGGCACGCATCCAGAAAGAGTCTGCAGTTGTCACGTTGGTGTCGATGATAACGCTGTAGCGCTGTGCAGGGAGGATGTTCAAACGATGAAATGATGCCGATTCAACTTGGGTGCCGTCGACCTCGGTAACGTGGAATGGGTGCTCGTCAATCTCAACTTGGAACTCTGCAAATGCGCCAGTGTTGATGAAACGGAGGCGGTGCTTTTGACCTGGAGTCAGGTCGAATGAGGCCAAGGATTTCAGCTGAGAAACTTTGTTCTCGCAATGCCAACCGTCAAAGTCAGCGCAGTTACGGTAGTTCTGCCCGTTGATGAGACCGCTGGACGGCACAGGCTCATCGTTCTCTTGGTCCGGTTGGAGATAGTCCATGAGCAGCTCGGCCGAGGTATTGTGGTAATGATCCTGGATCATGACCACGCGGTCACTCGCGTACGCGTCTGCTTCCTTCTTCTCATTCCGAGAGTGCACGACCATCGGACCAACCAATCCATCCGACGACTGGGCGCTGTGGTGCGCATGATACCAATAGGTCCCCGACTGTCCGTTGACGCTAAACTGGTAGGTGAAGGTTGCGTTGGGGGCGATTGGGCATTGTGTGACGCCGACAGTGCCATCCATGGAGTTTGTGCCATTTTGGAACATGCCGTGGAAGTGAATGGCAGTGGCGTTGGCTGCCTCATTATGGACATGAACGATTATGGTGTCTCCCTCGTTGCACTCGACAAGCGGTCCAGGGAATTGATTGTTGATCAGAATCATTGGTCGGAAGATGCCATCAGGGTTGAAGATTGCGTCTTGAATAGTCCAGTGATATTCTCTGACGCTCTTTGCTGATGCGTAGTCCCATGATGAGCTGAGAGCATACTCTGATAAGTCTCTAAGACGTGGGGTTGGAGGAATCTGTTCATCGATGGTGTGTGTTGGTGTCGCTGCGTCAAGATGGGGAGCACCTGGCAAAAGGCGGTCGAAGACGAAGAAGACCAAAAAGAAAACAAAGACGCCGAAAAGACTTGCTGCGGCGGATACTGTGGTCTTCCACGACGAGCCTTTCCGATATCGTCTGCGGTCTCCTATGTCGTTGTCGCCCTCATCGTGGGTGAGGAAAGGCGACTTCTCCGTGCCATCTTCTCTGGTTGAGCTTGAAGGCGAGACATCTCGGCGGTAGCCATCGTCGCTCTCCGAAGACAAGGAGCTTGGACTCGACGGCCTATCTTGCCCACTCTGTCGCTCAACGTCCATGGCGTGCATCACATCCCATCGTCGCGGGCGTCGTCAAAATGGGGTTGTAGGGAAGACGTTAGAAGTAGCCGAAGGACGCCACATGCTGACTTGCCTTCAGAGGAAGGTAGCAGCAGATGGCAGCTGAGAGGCGAATCGCATGCATGTTACCCTGTGCGGGTGAATCGGCATCTTAGCGCCAACACGTGCCCAAAACAGAAGTGACTGATGGCCCGATCCTGGCGGGACCTTGATGAAGGCACCTATTATTGGACGCTGACAGAGACAAAGAGGGGCAGCGATTCCGCAAGCGCATATTGGGGTAAATACAAAATACTTAGCAGCGACCACCGCGTCTTGGGTGCAGAAACAGACAAGGTGCAGAAACAGACAAGAAGACATCTTACGCGCTGTGTGTGGTCCGGCCGTTGGAAAAGAGAGGGATTGCGTCTCGCAATAATATTGTAGTCATGAAAGGGCATTTCAAGTGATAGTATATGTAACGTCTGCGCTTGGGAAATTCAATCGCCCAGTCGCACGAGATCTCAAAACAGACCAACCGTCATGGAGGATCTTGATACTCCCATCCATCTTCGAATTGTTTCCTTCATGTTACCATTCGGCGTCGCATGAGCTTGTGTGCGGAAGATGGCTCCGACCCAAGGCATGGATGTCCGGCCAGCTGTGGCGGCGTCGTGCGCCGAGCCTATCCACCTTTACGGCCCCGATCGACCCTCTAAAATGGAGCCACAGAGACGACCTAACGCACATGCCGCCCAGCAAAGGCAAAACGTTCTTTCCATGCAACAAGAAAATTTCCCGACGCGAGACCTCTGACCACTCTTCTGGGTGGAAGCAAACAATACTCTGCAAGGCTACGCCTTGGGTCTGGAAACAACTCCGTTCTTTCGCCCACTGTCTCGTTGTCCCCGCAACCTACCTCAGGTCAATCACGCATTAAATTCAACGCTCGCATCGTGCCGCTCATCTCGGGGCAAGCAAGCCCGAATTCCAGTACAATGTCGCTCGGCGCGCCGATTCCGAGTATTACCAAGAAGGCAATCGTCGAAGCCCAAAACGTTCCGAGCTATCAACCGACATCGATGGTCGCTCAAGCACTGCAGGGCATTCTTCGCTTCGGCCGCAGCTTGATTGCAGAATGGATCGTCTATGCCTTGGTCTACCACTCGATTGGCGCAATCGTCACGTTCTTTCTCTTTGTGCCTGTCGACTTGATAGGTGCACTGGTTTCCAATAATTATGAGCACGGACGTTTCCTCCGCTTCCACGTTTTTTTCTTCTCCTTTCCTACTGGCAACTACACATGGGAAGCATTCCCACTCGGCACCTGGATTCTTCTTGCAGGATTATGGACACTTACAGTGCGCCCTTCGTTGGCTCTTGCTGGATGGGTTGTCAACAAGCGTCTTCCAGCCTACACCCTGCCTGCGGAAAAGTACCCTCCAATTCGGTGGAGCTTTGAGTACTTATGTTGCGTCGCTAATCATCATCATGTCTTTATCCCGGACCCAGAGTTCTACGCTCGCAAAGCCATGCGTCTCATCAACTCTCGAGTCTCGTCGGACTCTTATCAACTTGGTACCATATCACCAGACGAGCATGACGAACTACGAACCTTTTCACACATCTACAACACCGTCATGACGCAGTACTTGTCAAAAAGTTTGCCCATCCCCACGGTGAATACAGGGGAAGGAGTGCACTCCCTATGTGCAGACAGGATTCTGAGCCAAATAGAGGGAGAAATGCCTTCCTCAGGATCACTGAGGATGCAAATAAGATGGGAGACTCGTTTTTTATGGAAGATGTATGTTTTTGTTCAGGGCTACTGATGTTCAGGGTGCTGGGGGAAATTAATGCATTGATTTGGCCGTATGCTGAGGATGGGACCTCCTGCGTGGAGGAGTGGTACGAGAAGTACGCGATTCCGAAAGATGCGGATCGCCGATAATTACGTGAGGTCTCAGAGAGAATCGGAGTATTCAAAAGGGAAGTTGGAGGACATTGGGCATGCATCATGCACAATCGTTGCCAGAGCCATTCGTTATTCAAGAGAATCAAGATGGAAAAAAAGGTACGAAAGGAAGTGCAAAACCCTACCACCGTGTATGACATTTGCGTTGGCTTCGAACTACAAAGTGAGTACTGAATCGCGAATCCAATTACCTCCCCTTCGTTCCCATGGAAGCAGCGGCAGAGGCTGGTGTCAGTCTTGAACTTCCACAAGGGGACGGGTAGGTAGGATGGTGTCGAATTGCACTGATCAGAATGCTTGAAGGGCAAAGCTTACCAGGTAGGAAGGTACGAGCTATCTAGGAAAGTCCCCAACGAGACGGACACGGTCCTGCCTTCCCTGAGCTACCAGAATTGTCATAGACTTGGCAAGTCCTTGCCCAAAGGAAGGAAACTGCGACGTAAGATAGAGTAGCTTTCTGGGAAGGATCCAGACGCATGGAGGCAGGTACGGCAGGCCCAGCTGGGCAGCAATAAATCTCTCGCCACGACGGCAGATGTCAACCTGCTCCTTTTCTCCTCACGCATCCTAGACTCAATAGTCACCACCATGCCTTCGGTCACCTTTCCAACAATCACTCGCGCAGCCACCGGCATGGCGGCTCTCCTACTTTCTGGTTCCGTGATCGCCTTTCCTATTACCGGGGTTTGGAAGTTGATCGCGCTTTGGTATGACCCATCCATTGACTGGCTCGCTTTCTGGACCGAACTTCATCGTACGATCGTCTTGGTCATCTTGTGTGTCGTTCTGGTTCAGGAAGCGACGACGTTGATGATGCGTATATATCTTAACGATCTCGGCCAACCGGCACACGGTTACGAAGAAGGGCAGGTCATCAGAGGGATCACCGGTTTGGCCGTCCACCCATTTGTAAATGGACTTCGGGCAGCCGCCGGCTGGTTGAGCATTCGCAAGACCAACCTCTGAGTTTGATCGATGAAGCATACCTCTTGGGGTCTGTGGAGTGACGACAGCCATCCCTGAAGTAACGGTACACTTGTGGTACTCGCGCAGACAAACCAGACATTGGAAGGGATGTCGTCAAATTCCAGTAAGTCGTTTCCGCCCCCAAAAAACTAACAAAATCAAAAAAAAAAAAAAAAAAAAAAAAAAAAAAAAAAAAAAAAAAGGGTGGAGGGCGGGTAGAGAAAAAAAGAAAAAGAAAAAAAGACCAAAAGGGTCCAAAAACCATCGCCAGATGAACGCGGTAAGTGAAAGTCGAACTCCGTACATTTCAATGAACTGACGACTCTGCAGGTCTTCAGGTTTCCGAACCATCGTCGAACCCAGAACCATCGTCGAACTCAAGACCATCATCGAGGCCCAAACCCCACTGGCAAATTGATGTGGTGAGTGGAATGTCGGACTCCTTGCACTTCGATGCTGACTGACATGGATTGCGCAGATCTTCGAGACCCAAGGCCATCGTCGAGACCAGAGTTGTCGAACATGACATCCATCTGCCCGGCCGTCTTTCGTATTCGAAGCCTTCCCTGGCGTATCTACTGGACGTCTCCAAGTCTGTATCCGTCGCACAACACGTTTCTCGGCTGGGTTTGTCAACGGCCCAGATCGAACGCAACTATTGGCCATTGTGGACGACTCGAGGCCCTCGCACCAGCAACTGGCTTGCACGACGTGCTGACAAGTGCGAATTCAGGTCAGACTACTCTCTGCATCGTACATCTCTCGCTAACAAACGCAAAGTTACACTTTCGACACATCAGCAACGCCCATCTATGATACCTGACTTGACTGGCAAACAACAGCAACATGGTAAAATCCATGTTCCAACCACGAGGGATGTGAACTTACTGACTAATTCGTAGTACTGCAACTCTTCTGTCGTCTCTCTGCCGTTATGCCAATCCTCCGACCTTCTATCAATCGAGGTGCACTTTCTCAAACACGACGCACAACTGGAGCAGTGGAGTTTGCACGCGATTTGTCTCATTCAAGACCGACTTGCGGGAGCGTGACGTTTCGGCACAACTCTCCGTCCCCGGCAAAACAATCACGGCAAATCCAACGACTATGCAGCACACGGGTCGAGAAATATTATATGGGGACTTTGACCTACGTCACAAGTCAGGGGAAGCAGTGCGGAGAAGGGGCGTTCCTGGGTGACCTAACCATTATACTATGCTTGGAAATGTGAGTTGGGTGGTACATTGCTTAGTCGCAGGTTGCAGTAAAGCGAAAAATTGGACATTGAGATCTATGGGAAGATGTTCATGAATGAAGTTGAAGCAACCTCCATCGAAGTCACGAAGTACACAGGAAATGTAGCCGGCCGGCGGTGTCGTCAAATTGGACCAAATTAGCCCATCAAAGTCCAAAAGCGAAATGCGTCTAACACACCACGTGGGTGGGCGTCGATATCAATTGGCCCAGCCTCAACACAAAGAACGCGAAGACTGCGCATCCAGCGAGCGAATGAGAAACAAGACAATTCCGCATGTCGAATCCTTCTGTACATGCTGCACAGGTACCTCATCTACTGCACAGTCGTTTCCCCACCGCTCGCGCCCCGCCCCGCCAACTCCGAGCGACGCTACCCCCGAACGGCAGCTGAAGGACTTGGCCCCCTGCGCCTGGACCTGGATGGCAGCATGTCACTCTTCAAGGACGGTGGCTCATTGTTGGGAGGCACACCTGCCGGATTCCCGAGAGCGGCAGTGTCCGCCGTCCGACCAACATTGATTTAATATCTAGCGTCGCAGCCCGTGATTCTTTCTCGATCTTCGACATGTCGCTCGCTCGCCACGCGCTGCTCTCAAGCCTCTCGCTCGTTTGAAGGCTTCCATCTCCTCCAATCCTGACATTCTTCGCGATCGATCCCAAAGATGCGTTGCACCTCCGTTTCGGCCGTGCTCTTCGCGGCTGGTGCCTCTGCCGCCGCTGTCAAGGCAAAGGCCGCATCCAGCACTGTCGGTTGGGAGACGGCCTACACCGCGACCGGCACTGCTGCGGTCTACGCCGCGGCCGCGACAGCCAAGACGAGCAGCCCGACCAGCAAGGTCAAGGGCAAGGCCTTTGATCGCTTTGTCGTAATCTGGAACGAGAACACCGACTATGAGAAGGCCGCTGGTGATCGTGAGTCTCTGTTATTCTCGGATACCTAATGTCACATTTCTAACATGTTGCAGCCAACTTGGCGTGGCTCGCCTCCAAGGGCATCCTCCTGGAGAACAACTTCGCCGTCACGCACCCCTCGGAGCCAAACTACTTCGCCTCCGTCTGCGGCGACTACCTCGGCATGCAAAACGACGACTTCAACCGCGCCGACCGCAACGTCTCGACGGTTTTCGACCTGCTCGACACCAAGGGCATCTCCTGGGCGTCGTACCAGGAGGACATGCCCTTCTCCGGCTTCGAGGGCATGGCCTGGGTGAACCGCCAGAACGGCGCCAACGACTACGTCCGCAAGCACAACCCGCCCATCTTCTTCGACAGCGTCACCCGCTCCGAGCAGCGCCTTTCGCAGATCAAGAACATCTCCATGACCAACCCCGCCGCCTCCATGTTCCACCGCGACCTCAAGGACAACAAGCTGCCGCAGTGGATGTTCATCACGCCCAACATGACCTCCGACGGCCACGACACCTCCGTCACCGTCGCCGGCAAGTGGACGCGCAACTTCCTCGAGCCGCTGCTCAACGACAAGAACTTCATGAGCAACACCCTCGTCCTCGTCACCTTCGACGAGAACGAGACGTACACGCACCAGAACCGCATCATGGGCATCCTGCTCGGCGACGCGGTGCCCGCGGACAAGGTCGGCTCCAAGGACGCCAACTTCTACAACCACTACTCGGAGCTCGCGACCGTGCAGGCCAACTGGGACCTGCCCACGCTCGGCCGCTGGGACGTCGGCGCCAACGTGTTCCAGGTCGTCGCCGACAAGACCAAGAGCGTCATCCGCCAGTGGAGCGACGCGTCCGCAACGCCCGACCGCTTCTACAACCAGTCCTACGCCGGCTTCTTCAACACCAAGGCGCCGAAGCGCTACCCCAAGCCCAACCTGGCCCTGGACAAGAACGCTGCTGGTCGCAAGATCCTCGACATCGTGAAGAAGACGTGGGAGAAGAGCTGCGCACCTACGTACTACGAGGACACCATCCACGTGCCCGATGGCCTCAACCCTCCCGCCGGATACGCGGCCTAATAGCATAATGTCTTTTTGGCTTTGGTCATTGTAAATATCGTAGTCGTCAATAATGCATAGACAGTAAACTTTCTGGTCGCAAACACCACCGCGTCCCCCTCAGTTGACATGCGAACCGTGACGGGCAAACATGCAAGCTCGCTGCAAGTGACCTCAGTGATCGGCCCCATCCCGGCCGCGCACAACAAAACAGCCAGCCAATCAGCCGCTCGCACGAGTCGTTTCCTCCGAGGGTTGCAGACTGAAATGTCGTGTGATGTCGTCGACCTGCCCCACGAGGGAAGGCACTTCATGCCCGGCGAAGAGAACAGGGGATCAATCCAAGTGGAGAGCTGAGGTGATCTTCCCCTCCCTGCCCCCCCGTCCATGCATCATCCCAGTCGCCAGATTACCCTGTCAGGAAGGTGGGAAATCAGAAATGCTTGATTGGACGAGTGACAGGGGGTCTTTCCCCCCGAAGCCCACCCACGTGGGTGGTTCTTGGCATCGCCGCTGGGCGAAAGCTTGGCCCATTTGCTTTCCCATGAATCCATGAATGTGTTTCCTTCTCCGCAGAAACAATTGTTGTAGAGGAACTAGCGATTTTCTGTCGATCCACCGCAAAGAAACTTTGCTTCGCCTCGCGGCATCGCATGTCCGGATTGCCGATG